GAGAGAAGAGGAGAGAAGAGAGAAGAGGAGAGAAGAGAGAAGAGGAGCGGAGAGGGAAGGGAAGGGAAGGGAAGGGAAGGGAAGAAAAGGATGAGAGAGGATGAGAGAAGGTTAGAGAAGGAAACAGAAGGGGAGAGAGACAGAGAGCCGGACACAAAGTGGAGACAATGCGCCCAATCTATGGAATGGGAAACAGCCCACAACTGTTGATTGGACCGTCTATTTCACAGATACAAAATGCATGCATAAAATGTGAGTTTAAGTTGGTATGCTCCGATTGAGTGAGGCAAACTCAGAGTTGGAATGCAAGCTGCCAGAAGGCTTTACGAAGCCGTGTGAGACTGGCGACAACTTTGTCTCCTGGCATTGTTCGAGTGCATGTACTGGAAGTCCACTCATTCTGTGTTTGGGTGACTAGCGTATCCGATCCCTGCACGTATTTTCTTCCAAGGCGGAGGGCTGCATATGCTGTCCAACAAGATTACCTCATTGACCTTAAAGGTGGTTAACTCTGGAAGCTCTAGCTCTCGTTTCTTTTCCTTTCCCTTCATGTCCTTTCCTCCTTTCTCTTCCTCTTTTTGTTGAAGCCTCCTCTGCCCTGCCCTGCCCCGCCCCCCCGCCCCCCCCCCCCGCCCCGCCCCTCCCTCCTTCCCTCCCTCCCTACCTCCCTCCCCCCCTTACGGAGTTGTGTACTTAGTTTGCTTTGTTCAAGAGTTTTGATGGCCTAAGGCAGAGTTCATGGTGGCTCTGGACAAGTTTGTCAGATTCCTGCCGCACATGAAATACAAAGAACATAAAGAACTCATTGATAACCGGCATGGCTGACTGAGGGTCCCCTTAGTTTTCGTACCAGAAATCCTGCCATGTTTCGTATGAAATCGCTCAGGATCGAAATACCAAGAAAAGGCCTTCACCCGAAGCGGCAGCGGTAAGCTGGTTGAGCCGCATGGCATCTGGTTGGTTGAGTTGCTGCATGGCTGTGAGAGTTGACAGCTGTGAGACGGACCAGCGAGACGGTCAGGTCTGCGCAGACCAAATCGATGGCAACCATTGGATCAATGCAATTCAGCCGGGAGCGCTGTAGTTCTTTTGAGCTGTGCCTTTCGACAATTCATGTTGCAGCTGTAGTTCTGATGGGAGATCAGTTGAGGCGGAGTTCTTCTGATCAAAGTGAAATCAGTAGCTTGGCTCAAAACAAGAGGTCTACCTTGGGTGCTTCTACATAGGCCGAGCGCCTAACAGTTCCAGGACCCCGCCCGGAAGGGCGAAAGGTCCAGCCTTCGTGAGGCTCGTCAGTTGATTTGCCTGGATGTCACAAGCCAAAGCGATCCATATGTTGCTGCAGAGTCTTGGTTGCATTCGCAGCCCTCTTTGGATGTGCAAATCAGATGCAGTGCGCAGCGTGCGCTCTGCTCTGCTCTGCGCAGCGAACGAACGCAGGAGATGGAGGGAGGGCAGCAGAAGGTGCGAACCAAGACCGTGAAAGATTGCGCCAATCCTGTTTGGGTCTGGGCCCCCAGCGGCAAGACGGCAGCTGTGAGTTTGAGACCTGGGAACCTCAAAAGAGACATGAAAGTAGATGAAACCCAATGTGGGGTCAGGACACTTGCGAAAGAACACTCCCAAGTTAAGCGCAGAGAAGGAAAAGGGAGACCATGGGAGACCCGAAACTCCCACAACCGCCACAAGTCGGACAAGTAAGCTTCATTTCAATGAAATTCGGTGAGTCCCTCTTGCATTGCGCCCCCATCTTCGATTCTCCCTGGCGTCCTTTGCCTGTTACGTCCGGTCCTGGCATCGTTCCAGCTTGTCAGCTTGTTGCTGCAGGATGAAGTCTTGATGCTGAACGTTCGCAATTTTCGAAGCGATGTGCTGAGACTGGCGGTGTGGGATGCTGACACACTCAGTGAGGCAGGGGACAGTGGAGCAACAAGAATTCAGGCACCTGAAAATGGACAGTCAAACGAACAGGAAAGTCTTCCGTCCTTTTTGCTTTTCGAACGTTTTCGTGCTCAGGATGACAAAATTGGCCACTGTGCCAGGATCTCATTTGACATCAAGAGAGTCAACTGTTGTGTGAAAACCCGGCCTTTGATTCCAATTGCTGACGCGCCCAAGAATGAAAAATATTGTGGGTTGTGTTCTGAGGAGATTCCGCTCCGCCATCTCTTGCGGCGAGCTTCCAATGACGAGCATGACGAGGGTCACGTTCGTCGCATGCCCGACGTCGCGACGACGGGGGTCTTCGACGATTTGAGACTCGGAGCTGAGCTCCGGAGCTAACCAGAGCTCCGGAGAGTTGTTTCATTTTTTCCGAAGTGTTCCTCCTATTGGAAGAATCACGGGCTAAAAAGCTTCATTACAAAAGGCACCTTTGTTCGACTGATTCCCCAAGGCTGGTTGGAACTAGTTGGAATCTGGGTTGGAAACGCGAGAAGCAAAGAGACGAAATGTTCCAAAATCACCGATCTGATGATGGAATTGGGGATTGCCTAAGCTGGTTTGCGAGCGTTGTTTTGCTAAGGGGTATCCTTTCGTGACCCCGCAGGAAAAAAGGTAAAAAAAGGAAATTTTCGATTTTTGCCGTTTTTACCGTGGATATGGTAGAAGAAAATTGAAGAAAAAGGAGCGCCCCCGGGTAAAAACGGTAAAGCAAAATATAATTCTCGATTTTTACCGTTTTTACCGCAGATATGGTAGAGAAAAAGGGGCACCCCCCCCGGTAGAAACGGTAAAAAAACAAAACTTTTCGATTTTTACCGTTTTTACCGCGGATATGAAATTTAAACATGGAGCGCCCCCAGTAAAAAAGATAAAAAACACGGAGATGGTAGAAAAGAAAAGGACAAGTCCACCTACAAAAACGGAAAACAACACAACTTTGAATTTTACCGATATGGTAGAAGCAAAAAGAGCAAGCGACTCTTCATTAAAAAAGTACACAACGCAACTAGTAATTTTCACTTTGGACCGTTTTTACCGCGACAATGCCTCGCGACCAGGTCGCAAGCTAGAAGACCTCTGTCAACAAAAAGGTTTATTGTTACAGCCCGGGTATCTTCCTATAAGCAGGTGGGGTTCACTCCTCCTACCATATAGAAGCGTGTGCCCTTTTCGACAAGAGGAGTTTGGTGATTGATCAACATTTCATGACTTTTAACTTTTGCAGGGCAATGAAAGCCTACATCACTTGGATCGAAAACTTTCGGTTTTTACCTACCGCGGATATGGCGGAAGAAACAGCGGTGACCCTCCGTTAAAAACGGAAAAAACATAGACCCGTTTGCCCCCCCTCGATCAAAACGGTACAAAAATAACAAACATTAATTTTACCGTTTTGATCGCGGATATGATATTGAAAAGGGAAGCCCCCCCCCGGTAAAAACGGTAAAAAAAGTCAATTTTCAATTTTTACCGTTTTACAGCTTGCAGCCAAGTGGTGTGGGATACTGATACTGTGTGGAAGCTGGTGTTGGGAGGGGTGAGGGTGGTCGTTTAGAGGTTCCACGCTCCAGGGCATTTTCCTACGCCTTCTTCCAGCTTTCAGGCATTGGAGAAGCGCCAGGTAAAGGTTGAATCATTGGTTTTCAAGCAAGATTTGGGTCCGAAGCATATTTGGAACATGTTTCAGTCAAGTCCTTCTTGAGACCTGAGGATTCTGACGGGTGGGGATCCACACCCCTGCATTTGTGTGCGGCTGTTCCAAAGGAACACGCCACGTGGGTTTTTAAGCGTTGAACTCACCTATCAACCTCTAGAATGAGGTGAGGAGAATGTCGGCAAATGTTCTTTTTGTCGAGTTCTGCGACTCAAAACTGGGCTGTGGAGGTGGCTCCCAAATGTATCGACGATGCTCCTCAGGTGAGCCCAAGGCTCGCACATCGGAGCGGAGCTCCACTCAATGGAGAAAATGGCCGTGCTTTGAGGTCGGTAAATGGATGTGGCTCAAAATCGAGAGAATGACCAGAGGAACCCATCCTGTTTTGTTTTACACCGTGCATTTTTCTCACACTTTGGTATGGTGGGGGTCTCTCTATTCCCAATACGAACTTTGTGATTTTTTTTGCGTCCGTTCTGTCTGCCGTCGACGGCAGGATGAGCGAACCATGACGGCAGCCATGGAGTGAGCCCTGCTTTCCACCCTAACAATCCTTGGGCCTGACACCTGAGGTCCGAAACGGACCCGAAGCCAACCCCTTGGGTACGTTTTTCTTATTAAACTATATTATATATATATATAAATTGTATGTAGACTCGTGATGAATAAAACTCTCATTTGAAGAGGTTTCACACCTAAATAATTTCCTTGGGGTTCTCTCTTAGGGAAAACACTGACCGCAGTCTCTGGCCGCGCATGAACCCTGTGCAGGTGCTGAGCCGCGTTCGTTGTCCCGTTCTTGTCCTCCTCTGCCCGCGCTGGCGAACCGCCTTCTCTTGTCCGCGTGGTGTCCTCGGCCACACTCGCGAACTCTGTGTCCTCCTCTTCAACTTGGCCTCCTCCTGCTGTCTTCTAGCCGAACCCGTGTCATCCTCTTGTTCCCCAATCAAATAAAGAACGAAATGGCTGGCCATGATAGCTGTGTCCACACCGTGGGCTTTCTTTTCTGCCGTGTCCGCTGCGCTGCTGTGGGCCCGACATTCTCCTTGTCTGCTTGGCAGCGCCGCCTTGTCCGGCCTTGTTCAAGTCTTGTCCGTGTCGCTCGCCTTTCTCCATCGCCTTGTCCGGGTAATGTTGACTTCTGATTTAGAAATGGCCCGTGAATAACACTCAATGTGTTCAAAAACAAATAATACATTTGTCCCAAATAAATACGATTTTTTCTGGACCATGATTTTCAGCTGCTTGCAGACCTTGATTCATCCAAACTGATTCTGAGCTTTCAGCTGATTCCAAAACCTGGTTCTTTTGGCGGCTTCCTTTACAATTCTTTTAGATTTCCTTTTGGTTGAAAAGCTTTAGCTTTGTTGAAGGCAATCCTTTCTGGATTTCTGATTTGGCTGCTGCATTTTCCTTTTTAAAACTGCTTATTTGGGCATTGCCATTTGGAACCTGAAATCAACACACAAAGACCACCCCCCACAAGCAGCCCAAACCTTCAATTACTCCAGACTTCAAATAATACAAAACAATTCCTGGCTGGTTCTTTTTTTTGTAGTGTCCTTTACAATTCCTTTGGATTTCCTTTTGGTTGAAAGGATTGAGCTTTATTGAGGGCTATGGTTATTTAGGTTCAGCCCCTTTACAATTCCTTCATCGCTACTTACATTGATTGCTTTCGTGTCCTTTCCTTTCCTTTTATTTTCCTTTCATGTCCTTTCCGTTCCTTTCATTTCCAATTCAAAGCAATATTTTTTCTGGATTTTCTGGATTTCACTATTTCGCACCCGCGCTTGATCAAGGGGGGGTTTATTATTCAGAGGTGGACATCATGTTTTTCGTGTGGCTATGAATGCAACGATGGTACAGCGTTTCAAATTTGATATCATTGTCAGGTTTTCTCATGACATATATATCCCTTGGTTTGTGCACATGTGACCGAGGAATCAGGAACCATTGTTGTCAAGCAATGCTATTCCGAAACAGCTGGAAGCTATAGTAACAAAATCACTTGCTCGTTACCCCCCCACATTGGAATTAAAGGAGTTGCCGTGCAAAATGATGCCAAAACTGCTTGGGGTCTATGCTGGCATAATCCAGCTGCATGGGTACCACCGAGACGAGGTACAAGATGGGACGTCCCACATATCGCCTGACGACCAACGCTGTACGGAGCTGAAGATGCTGAATGGTTGGAGACGTTTGCAGTATTATCATATATACAAATATACATATATCACGAAAGCCAGCCGATAGGCAAGGCCTGAGGTTGCTGGAGCGAACGAAGTGAGTAGAGGGGGTGTGGGGGGGCGGTCGCGAGGTTGCCAATTTCGGAGAGGTGAACCCAGAGCCTGGGGGGGAGAGCGAAAAAAAGAGGTGGGCCACTTGGTAGTGAAAAATGAGTGGTTTGAGGGGTGTTGTGATGCCGGTGATGTATTTGACGGCGAAGAGTGCATCATCAGCATCATGAGGGGCTCAGGAGGCCATGTAAACTGTTTTTACTAGGGGTGGGACTTCACGTGGATGAGAGGAAAGGGAAGCGAAGGGGACGTGAAAAGTGGTTAGAACTCACCCTATACTTGAGAGCAGGAAAGAGAACCCACTGCAGATGCGGGCAAGCTTAGCGTTGCTTGGGGCGCCCTTTTTTAGTTGCCATACTGAAGAGGGCACTCCCTGCCAAACCCCACCACTTCCAGCTACTCCTTGTCCACTCTCCCTGTATACACATAAGTACCCTCACGAAAGCCTGCCGCTAGCCTCGCCCACGGGCTCGGTCCCCTCCTCTTTGCCAACACGCAGCAGACAACCAACCGCCCCTCACTTCCTTATGGGTGCCCTTTTTCACCTCTGAAACGGCCCTCCACCAACACGAAAAAGGGCACTCCGCCCAACATGTACTCTACCTTCTCTTTCTACTCCTATGCAAGTGTCTGCAATATCGACTTCACTACATAAAGGTACGCTTTGCCCGATGTTCACCAATCACCTCATCTTGCACGCCCAAGGGGCTGCAATATCAACTTCACCACTTCCGGCAATTCTTTCTCCACTCAGCAAGCTACCACCCCTCACTTCCTTCGAGCCCTTTTTCAACTCCAAATGACCCCCAACCACGACGAAAAAGGGCACCCCCCCGAACCTGTGTACTATACTTTCTGATTCTACCTCCTATGAGACGACCTGCGATGTCAACTTCACCACTTCCAGCTACTCTTTCTCCACTCTGCCCTCCAACACGCCCCTGACCTAAGACGAAAAAAGGCAGCCATGCCTGGAAACGCCAAGCTAACCCTGAGGGCACCCCCCTTGGCACAAAGGCTGGCTTTCGTCCCCTCCCTTCTCAGGTATATATATATATATATTTTTTTCTTTATAAGTATGTAGTATATATGTATATATATATATGTGTATATGTCATTTCTACATTTGTTTTAATCATGAAAGGTTGATTCGGCTAATCTGCACTTTTGGAAGGTGAAGCTTTGAAGTTTTGAAACATATGTTTGCAAGCGATAAGACCTGAAATCAACTTTTGATTCACCGTGATTCGCATTGATTCCCTCTCACCTTGCTCTAAATGAGCTCCCAAGTCTTGGAGACATGTCTCCAGGGCGTGGTTTCGAGCGTTGCCCCAGGTGGGCGAGTCCCACGCCATTGAGACGGCTCAACGGCTTGGGCTTCCACCGTCCATCGTCCCGGTACTCGGCCGTCCCACGAACACGTTTGGAAGCAAACAAAGGGACGAGAACGTTGACAGCTGTGTGTGGTGTGTCCAGCATGTAGAAAACGTTCGAAATCGCCAAAAATTCTTTTGGAGGTGATCGCGATTTTGTCGAACAAAGACCATCGATCCAAATGAGGTGAAACGAGCTGAAGAACTGCTCGGTGATGACCAGAGGCGGCTCTTAGCCCTGCAGCGCCAGGCATCGGTCCTTTCGACAATGTTCGACTTGTTTTTTTTTTTTTTTTTTTTCGATGACCTGTCCGTCTTATGCCAGGCATCCGCTGCAGAACAGGTGGCTGGGGCTGGATTTTTTTTTTGTTTTGGTGCACTTGAACAAAAAGAGTGCCACAAACATGTTGTTGCTTGGCTGTTGGCTGCATTTTTCTTTGCAGACGGACTTCCTCCACCTGCCTTCCAACGCCGTAGGACTTCATCGCGGCCAAGCTCGAAGCCGACCAGCGGGAGGCTGTGGAGCCAGGACCATATTGGACCCTTTGACACCTCGTTTTGTCGCTGGATCTGTCCGGCACCTTCTCTGCCTCAGGCAGCTGCACAGCAGGCCATTCTGGAGACGCAGTCGAAGGTGCAACTGGGATCGACGGGGATCCGTGCATGGCGCATGCGATCGCCCTGGCACCCCTGCTGTACGGATTCGTTTGCTGATGAGTTCGTAGTTCGGTGAGTGTCTCACTGTGGTCAGGGAGGAAGAACGAGAGTTTGTGGTTGGGGTTCTTTCGGACGTCTTCGTGTGCTTTTTGGGTGTTGGCCTCGCCCGGCGTTCACCGCGAAACGACGTTCCGACCGGTCGAGGTCGGACGTGGCGACCGGTCGATGGTTCACAGGAAAGCGATCTGGCGCATCGCGCACAGCAGCTCACGCAGATGGAGGCGATGGGGGGCGGTGTTCGGTTGGGGCATTGATCGCTGGGCTGGGTTTTCGAAGCTTTGACCCCCCTTCCGACCCTTCCTCTTTGACAGGTAGAGGTCAAAGAAAGAATGAATGCTTTGAAGAGGCAGACGGATGCGGAGCTCAAGGCCCGAACCTGGCTAACCGCCCGAAACACACACAACGGCTGCATACGGCTGCCGGGTCTCCGCAAGACCGGAGGCCCGTGTGGAAGTGAAGGAAAGGCAGTTCCAGGCAGGGTGAGATGGAAAAGCATGGGAAAAGCGACCTTTTCAAGATGAACAGTTGAATGTTAGGTTTCTTGGTAGGTAGGTGCATCACGTCAATCAGTTGTTCGAAGGGTGCTGGAGCCAGCATCGTTGGTTTGTGCGTCGATTTTTTCGGCTGTTGCAGCTTATCCCCACTTGATTTTGCCGAACTTTGGAGACAATTGAAGGGATGCCACGCGTCCTGGGAAACCCACCCATGGAAAATCAGAAAAGCTTGAGGAAATAGGAACAATGCAGAAGTCAAGAACTTACAGTAGAAAGTTTAGTAGCAAGGACGCTACTAGGGGCTCCTGGCCTTACTACCAGGAGCGAGGACGCTATTAGTTACTTTGGGGCCAAACGTAAGAAGTGCTTCTTTGCTTCGTGGCTCCGTCCATTTGCTGGCCTCGTCTTGTGCAGTGTGGTGGAAACCCCACGTTCGGGACCTGGCAGGATGTGGTGCGACGCTTGAAGATGGAGCCCTTGACATGTGTGACGTGAGTTTCTTGAAACCAACACTGTCAGAAGCACAAAGCTTTCAAACAGACCGCTGTGACCTATGTTTTCATGTTGCTTCCAAGAGAGTCTCTCCCTCTCTCGTTCTTTTGGATCGATTGGCGTCCAGGAGGCACAGCACAGTGGCGTCCAGCTGAGGATTGTGGGAGATGCCCTGGAGGCTGTGATCGGCCGACTCGGCACGGCCCACCGAACCGTACGCCAGGACCTTCGCGTCCAAGTCACTGCGCCCAAGGCCGGCGGAGAGCGCGCGCGGCGAGCGGACCGCGCGCGCGCGGAGAGCGCGGCCCAGGCGAGCTCGAGCGACGTGCCTGCCATTCCTGGAGCGCTGCGAGCTGAGTGGGGGTTTTCAAGTGTCAGTGTGTCTTCTTTTTTGACACAGATTGAAGATTTCACAGCCGTTTTTGTAAGCTGTCGAGGCAAAGGGAATCTGTGTTTGGAGTTTTGTAGGGAATTCACACCTCGGTCTTGCCGATGCGTGTCACAACGTGGTGGTCACCGACCAAGGATGGGCTTGAGGGATCCCTTGAGCAGCACGATTGCATGATTGGAGCGATGGCTTGACTGTTTTCCGAAGATTTGCTTCGAACTTCCCTCACCCAAACAAGCAAAACCGCACATGTCGCCGGCCGGACGGAACAAACGTTGTCTGCCCAGATCGTGGTGATTGGGTGGTGGTGATGGCAGACCCTCCATGGTATGGTCTCAAGGCCGGTCCGTGGTGAGTCGTAGGGGACAGCCTAGAGTCTAGAGTCTAGAGGAGACTCGCACTGTACGGGCTTTGCTGGAGACGGAGTTGTTTTGAGTCAGATGGAGCCTACTCGCCTCCGGAAATTCTCCATTATGTAGCCTGTTGATCAACACAGAAACAATATGAAGAGGTTCTCAATCCAAATTGGAAGTTTTCTTTTTTAAAGACGACGAGTCTACACTACCAGTGACATGTTCGACTTGCTGACTTGCTTTTTGGAAGTGACAGTGGGACGCCTGGTCCAGGGTCAAGTTGAGCGCATCGAGTTGGCCAAAGATGGAGGAGCACCCTGCATCCACGTGCGTCTTGGAGCGCTGGGAGCCCCAAAAATGATGCCATGTCTGTGTGGCCGAAGAAGGGGCGCCGAAAAGATCACCCAGGAATGGTAAGCTGAAGGAGTTCTCGAAGACACAGCTCAAGAGGAGAAAGCAAAGCAGAGCAAAGCTGGTTGTTTGATGTTGCTGGGTGGAATGTGAGAGATTAGTTTGTAATTATTTTTTGGACCATCTATTCGATTGTTTGTGTGATTGCTGCCCGGCAGGACTCAAGCACCGCCCCAAGCTGCCCGGACCCTGAAAAAGCCCAAGAACGAGGCACAGCAACGCTCACTCCGGGATCAACCGAGACACACTAACGACCAAATCGACGGAACAAGTGTTTTACACACAAACACCAAGGAGGCAGGGCCAGCATTGGTACTGGATGAATTTCACCGATTCGCTTCTCGAGTCGGCTGAGTCGTTTGACAGATCGATCCAACACCCATAGCATCGGCCGATTTGCGTCGGCGGATTCGCGTCGCGCGGTCCGCGTCGGGCGGTCCGCGTCGGCTGTGGCGTCTGCGTTCGCTGGGAGGTGGCTGCACCCACGCGGAACTATAGCAACTCGTCGGTGGGGTGGATTCATGTCTTCAGCACGAAGACCACGTGGTCGGCGGCTGGTGGGTAGCCGGTGGCCATGATGTCTCGTGTGTGTTTTCGCTTTGGATGAGGTAGCATGATGTTCTGATACCGCCCACCGCCCTTGCGCGAAGAAGAATGGCAAGTGCTGAAGTCTGAATGGCAAGTGCCTGAAAGATAGAGAGAGAGAGTCATGCAGCCAGGCCTTACGGGGCTGATTGATTGCTGGCCACACAGTAGATTGTCAGCAGGATTTTCTGCGGCTGCAGCAGCAGCACGCACAGAGTTTTAGATTCCGGATTCCATATGTAGTCGGTGTCGCGTGGTTCTCAGCTGTTCCCAATGGTTGTGACACAAGACGTGCAAATGTCCAGACGTGCATCGGCTAAGCCGAGCAACTTTATGGAGGAGGCTCCAAAAAGGCATTTCAAAAGGGTAGCAGTGCCGCAAACCATAGGGGGAAGAAATCGCCCAATCAAGTTGTTTGATGTTGTTTGTGAATGTTTGTGAAACTTTTGATTGAGATATAAGCCGCCTTGTGCAGAATTTTTGCTGAAGGACAATCCACTTGATAGCTTCCAGGGCTAGTAGCAATGGCGCGTTTGCTTCTTGCCGCTGCCCTCCTTGCCGTGCCGGCCTCCGCATATGTGGCCCCCACAAATGGCGCAACCTCCCCACA